ATCAGTCTTAAATATTTGTGATCTGGGTCAAACACATTAAAGTTTGACTTTAATCACCCAATAAGTATTTTTAAATGCATTTCTTGTGGCCATCATTCTGTAAAACATTAGGCTATGTATGCAGAAGTCAAAGATAGATGCCTCCCCTGATCTATCCAAATAGTATAAAACTTTCTAAAGGGAAGGTATGTTGTAAATTTAGCACCATGAACACTATTTTAATGCTAACCTGTTAATGATGTCAGTAGGCACAACAGAGACTTAAAAGAATGGGGTCTTTGTTGGAAAGCTGGAGTTGGTAGAGTGTGTTTTGAGTAGACAGAAGGATTTGTTAATCTCTGTCGGAGTAATTGATTGGGAGTTGAGCTGCTAACCCAAAGGCCATGCCTCTCTGCTGGTTCTAATCCACCAATGACTTTGAAGGAGAAAAGTAGACAATTTCTTCCCATGGGATTTACAGCCTCAGAAACACAATGGAAGGTCAGCTGTGAGTTGGCTCTGACTCAACAGCAATATATTTGAGAGTAGGAAGGATGGGTAAAATCTGAATGGGCAAAGGAAGGCAAGAAGGAGAGTTTCAGACAAAGAAAACGGCTGCAGTGTTAGGAATTAACATATGTATTTGGGCCTAGTAAAGTCGATGATAATGCTGAGTAAGAATGGTGGGGAGGCAAAAAAGTTGTCTGATTAGATAATAAGAAAAGGAATACCACAGCTTTCAAGGAAATTAGGGTCTCACAGAAACCGAAAGGGTAGCATGTGCCCCAAAACTAAAGTCATCAAGTGTGAAGGGCCAGGAAAGATGGTGAATGGTAACAGGGAACCGGGCAAGAATGCAGCCAATGTTCTGAAAATAAATGTATATGAATTGTTGAAAAGGAAACTCATTTTCTCTGTAAACTTTCACCCAACCCACACTAAAATAAATGCCAATAAATCCAAGAAAAAGAAAGTGAGAGAATTAGGGTCAGAGTCAGCCACTGGGAAACTAGGAAACCCATTTAGAATCCCTGGCCAGATGTGTTTATAAAGGTGAGAGGGGCCAGCTCCCCAGGGAAAGCTTTTGGTGAGAAGAGGGCTTACCCCCCCTCCCCAGAAGGAAGGGAAATCCATGGGTTTCTGTAATGAAGACATTGGGGGTGGGACTCAAGTGGTGCCTCCAGGTTGCAGTTTGGCAAAGGAACCAGTGTCACCATCACACCTGGTGAGTGTTCCATGCCCATGGTCCCCTGCTCTCACTGGTGGGGCAAGGAGTCCGTATAGTAATCCAAGTGCCTGACCACAAAATACAGATTTAGTAGCAAAGGAGCTCTCAATCACTGCTGCGCCCCTGGGGATCTAAAGCACTGGAGCGTTCGGACATGTGTTGCTGCATGGTTTTGAATTAAAATGATGCATGAGGACCTAGAGTAGCTGAACTTTCACAGTGAAAAATCGATTCTGTCCAACTCGAGCTGTACTATGTCTGGGAGCTCCTCACCCTCTGCCTTCCCCTTCCTGTGCGTTCCTTCAGCATTTGCACACCCTGTAGCAGTACCCACCCCCAGCTCTGACCAGGACAACCACAGAATTTTGGGGGGATGTAGTGATGATACTAATGAATGGCCTCCTCTCTGCCCAAGTGAAAGAGTTAGATTTTAGGGCTGTAACCCACAGTGTAGACAACCCAATCCTCATTACCACCACCCTAGAGGAGGAGGGGGTAGGTAGGACCCTTGGGCTTTAGATCTTTCTGATGAAGCCCTGGCTTCTCTGCTGCTTTGCCTCCACTCCCACTGCAGGCTGCTCTGCCTTCAGCGTCCAAGGCTGGGCAAGGGGCTGGTTTCAGGTCCAGCTGGATGTCTGTGCTGCCAAGACCACCCTGGTTGGCGTACCAAGTGGAGTGCATCTCCAGGTCTGAGAAAACTCAGCCACTCATCCACGTGGTGAGGAGATTAGGGAGCAAAGAACCGCAAGGGCAGGAAGCTCTAATCCCAACCCTGCAGCAGACTCTCTGGGTGGCCCCCAACCTGTTAATCCTCCCAGCAAACCTCTGCTTCCTTCCCCAAAGGCAGGAGGTCCGAAAGGATAAGCAATGAGAATCACATTAAAAGCACACAGTCCAACCGGAAATACTCAAGAGTGATTCTCAGCACTGAGGGAAAGCCTCCAGCAATCTAGCTCCCTGGGGTTTCCTGGGTAGAAAAAAAAAAAAAGAAACCAAACAAAAAACTGTGACTCTTAGCTGCACATTATTATGGCCACACCCTGGCAGGTTTTCACAGCTACAACTAACATTTGCCCAGTACTTTATGGTTTGTTGGTTACCATTTGGTTTGGGGAATCTCTCTTTGGTTTCTCAGAAGAGCCTGGAAGGTAGAAGGGGTTGTTGTTGTTGTGGTTGTTGTTTACAGGTGTAACCTCTTATATTCTTACGGGGCTGGTGTGACTTGTTCAAAACCTTACATCTAGTACATGGGAAAGCCAAAGGCTGGACTCTAGGGTTCTGATTGGTAATCCAAACACTTTATTTTTTTATTTTTTTTCCTATAATTATATTTTATTAATTTTCATAAACATTTACAGAGATTTTGGGTTTCCATTCATTCGTTGTTGC